ACATCCCCACACACACACACATCCCCACACATACACCACACACACACACTCACCCCACACACACACATCCCCACACACCCCACACACACACACACCCCACACACACACCCACCACACACACACACACATCCCCCCACACACACACACCCCCACACACACACCCCACACACACACTTCCCCTCCCATCGCACTCTCCTATCTCACACTCCCCCCACTGCCACCCCTAACAACAAAGACAAAGATCCCCCGTGTAGCCTTTTACAGAACTGTTGGGGCAAGTGCTGTGAGCGAGTAGCAGCACCTGTGAAGGCTACCGGCACTGTGGGCACACGAGGGAGGTGGCAAGCACCACGGCCGGCCGCCTTTGTCTTCCCAGTGGCGATTTTTAAACATCGTAGCAGGTACCCATTTTGAGACTGAGTCAACCTAGGGGAGGCCCAGCACCGTTCGTAGCGCAGCGCGCCGAGACTACTGCCACCCCTACAAAGATGCCCCGTGTAGCCTTTAGCAGGCAGCTAGGGCAAGTGTCATTCACGAGCACCAATGAAGGCCACCCCTACACACACGCACGCGTCTCCTCCCCAGCTCACACTCCCTTGCCGAGTCAACCTAGGGGAGGCCCAGACCCCACTCAGACAATACTCATCGCCGCCAGTTCCACAGGGCCCTGGAATACAACTCGGGTCGCCGGGTTCGTAGCGCATCGCGATCACCGCACGCACCTCCTCTCCAGCACACACACACACCTCCTCTCCAGCACACACACACACTCTCCATCACACACACACACTCCATCAGACACACACACACACCTCCTCTCCAGCACACACACACACCTCCTCTCCATCACAAACACACACCTCCTCTCCATCACACACACACACTCTCCATCACACACACACACCTCTCCATCACACACACACCTCCTCTCCATCACACACACAAACACACCTCCTCTCCATCACACACACACCTCCTCTCCATCACACACACACACACCTCCTCTCCATCACACACAGACACACACCTCTCCATCACACACACACTCTCCATCACACACACACACACTCTCCATCACACACAGACACACACCTCTCCATCACACACACACACACACTCTCCATCACACACAGACACACTCTCCATCACACACAGACACACTCTCCATCACACACACACACACTCCATCACACACACACACACTCCATCACACACAGACACACACCTCTCCATCACACACACACACACTCTCCATCACACACAGACACACTCTCCATCACACACAGACACACTCTCCATCACACACACACACACACACTCTCCATCACACACACACACACTCTCCATCACACACACACACACTCTCCATCACACACAGACACACTCTCCATCACACACAGACACACACCTCTCCATCACACACAGACACACACCTCTCCATCACACACACACACTCTCCATCACACACACAGACACACACACACACACTCTCCAACACACACACACACTCTCCATCACACACAGACACACTCTCCATCACACACACAGACACACTCTCCATCACACACACAGACACACTCTCCGTCACACACACACACACACACTCTCCATCACACACACACACACACTCTCCATCACACACACACACACACTCTCCATCACACACACACACACTCTCCATCACACACACACACACTCTCCATCACACACACACACACACTCTCCATCACACACACACACACACTCTCCATCACACACACACACACACACACTCTCCATCACACACAGACACACTCTCCATCACACACACACACACTCTCCATCACACACACACTCTCCATCACACACACACACACCTCTCCATCACACACACACACAATCTCCATCACATACACACTCTCCATCACACACACCTCTCCATCACACACAGACACACACCTCTCCATCACACACACAGACACACACCTCTCCATCACACACACACACACTCTCCATCACACACACACACACACTCTCCATCACACACAGACACACTCTCCATCACACACACACACTCTCCATCACACACACACACACACACTCTCCATCACACACACACACTCTCCATCACACACACTCTCCATCACACACACACACTCTCCATCACACACACACTCTCCATCACACACACCTCTCCATCACACACACACACACCCTCTCCATCACACACAGACACACACTCTCCATCACACACACACACACACTCCATCACACACACACACACTCTCCATCACACACACACACACTCTCCATCACACACACACACACACCCTCTCCATCACACACAGACACACACTCTCCATCACACACACACACACTCTCCATCACACACACACACACTCTCCATCACACACACACACACATTCTTCATCACACACACACATTCTCCATCACACACACACACCCTCTCCATCACACACACACTCTCCATCACACACACACACATTCTCCATCACACACAAACACACACTCTCCATCACACACACACTCTCCATCACACACACACTCTCCATCACACACACACACTCTCCATCACACACACTCTCCATCACACACACTCTCCATCACACACACACACACTCTCCATCACACACACACACTCTCCATCACACACACACACTCTCCATCACACACACACACACACACTCTCCATCACACACACACACACTCTCCATCACACACAGACACACTCTCCATCACACACAGACACACACTCTCCATCACACACACACACTCTCCATCACACACACTCTCCATCACACACACACACACTCTCCATCACACACACACACTCTCCATCACACACACACACACTCTCCATCACACACACACACACACTCTCCATCACACACACACACTCTCCATCTCCATCACACACACACACATTCTCCATCACACACACACACATTCTCCATCACACACACACACTCTCCATCACACACACACACTCTCCATCACACACAGACACACTCTCCATCACACACACACTCTCCATCACACACACACACTCCATCACACACAGACACACTCTCCATCACACACACACACACACACTCTCCATCACACACACACACACTCTCCATCACACACACACACACACTCTCCATCACACACAGACACACACCTCTCCATCACACACAGACACACTCTCCATCACACACACACACTCTCCATCACACACACACTCTCCATCACACACACACTCTCCATCACACACAGACACACACACTCTTCATCACACACACAGACACACACTCTCCATCACACACAGACACACTCTCCCTTGCTCCTCCTCCACCCCCTCCCACCACACTCCCACCCACCCCCTCCCACCACCCCCCCCGTCTCGGCTGTGCTGCACGGCAAACGCGGGGAGTTGTTCACGCCAGCGGTGTCAGTGCGCAACGTCTGAACACACACACACACGCACAGGCAGTGTGCGGCTGCACACACACACACGTACAGGCAGCGTGCGTCTGCACACACGCACACACGCGCACAGGCGACACACGCGCTGCCTACAGTCGAGCCTGGCGGCTCAACCCAACCCAGAGTGTTGAGGGGACGAGGAGGACGCAGCCGCAGCCGCCGCTCTCCCGAGCGGCAGTCCTCGACAAGCCGAGAGGCAGCGCAGCGGTCGGTGCGGGCGAGCGAGCGGTAGCACTCGACTTGGCACACGGAGAGACACTCGACTTGGCACACGGAGAGACACTCGACTTGGCACGTGGGGAGACAACTTGGCACACGGAGAGACACTCGACTTGGTACGCCGGGAGACACTCGACTTGGTACGCCGGGTGACACTCAACTTGGCACGTGGGGTGACACTCGACTTGGCACGTGGGGTGACACTCGACTTGGCACGTGGGGAGACAACTTGGCACGCCGGGAGACACTCGACTTTGCACGTGGGGAGACAACTTGGCACGCCGGGTGACACTCGACTTGGCACGCCGGGAGACACTCGACTTGGCACGTGGGGAGACACTCGACTTGGCACGTGGGGAGACACTCGACTTGGCACGTGGGGAGACACTCGACTTGGTACGCCGGGAGACACTCGACTTGGCACGTGGGGTGACACTCGACTTGGCACGTGGGGAGACACTCGACTTGGTACGCCGGGAGACACTCGACTTGGCACGTGGGGAGACACTCGACTTGGCACGCCGGGAGACACTCGACTTGGCACGTGGGGAGACACTCGACTTGGCACGTGGGGAGACACTCGACTTGGCACGTGGGGAGACACGACTTGGCACGTGGGGAGACACTCGACTTGGCACGCCGGGTGACACTCGACTTGGTACGTGGGGAGACACTCGACTTGGCACGTGGGGAGACACTCGACTTGGCACGCCGGGAGACACTCGACTTGGCACGTGGGGAGACACTCGACTTGGCACGTGGGGAGACACTCGACTTGGCACGTGGGGAGACACGACTTGGCACGTGGGGAGACACTCGACTTGGCACGCCGGGTGACACTCGACTTGGTACGTGGGGAGACACTCGACTTGGCACGTGGGGAGACACTCGACTTGGCACGTGGGGAGACACTCGACTTGGCACGTGGGGAGACACTCGACTTGGCACGTGGGGAGACACGACTTGGCACGTGGGGAGACACTCGACTTGGCACGCCGGGTGACACTCGACTTGGTACGCGGGGAGACACTCGACTTGGCACGCCGGGTGACACTCAACTTGGCACGCCGGGAGACACTCGACTTGGTACGTGGGGAGACACTCGACTTGGCACGTGGGGAGACACTCGACTTGGCACGTGGGGAGACACTCGACTTGGCACGCCGGGAGACACTCGACTTGGCACGTGGGGAGACACTCGACTTGGCACGTGGGGAGACACTCGACTTGGCACGTGGGGAGACACTCGACTTGGCACGCCGGGAGACACTCAACTTGGCACGCCGGGTGACAACTTGGCACGCCGGGAGACACTCAACTTGGCACGCCGGGTGACAACTTGGCACGCCGGGAGACAACTTGGCACGCCGGATGACACTCGACTTGACACGCGGAGAGACACAGAGGGGCGCCGAGTGAGAGAAGCGAATGAGAGGGAGAGCGTGTGAGGAGGAGGAGGAGAGGAGGAAGGGAGAGCGAGTGAGCAGGAGGAGGAGAGGAAGGGAGAGCGAGTGAGGAGGAGAGAGATGCGAGACACAGACAGCCCGAGGGAGATTCGGTGAAGACACAACTCGCCATCGTCGTCTTCATCTCGACTGCCCACAGAGGAGGAGCGTGCCGCTGGCGGATGGTGATGATGGTGACGATGGTGACGATGATGGAGGAATTGAAGCGTTTTCTGATGATGATGATGGTGGTGGTGGTGATGATGCTCGCGTCTGCTTCGGAGTCCGGGCGGCTTCTGTCTCTTAACTCTCCTCCCTCTTCATCTCCCTGACTCCGCCACACTGGGAGAGGCAGAGAGAGAGACGCGGGGAGAGGCAGAGAGAGACGCGGGGAGAGTCGCGGGGAGCGCGGTGGCGTGGACTGAGGATAACCACAACAACAACAACCACCACCACCACCACGTGGTGGCTATGAAGACGGCAGGAGTTTAAGGATGTGACCGGGGAAGTCAAGAGGACAGGACACGTGGGCGGGGAGAGTCGACGTTGACTTCAGCAGCAGTCAAGGCCACGTGGATTCTACCTCATCTGTGCACCTCCGAAGAGGACTTCCCCGTCTCTTACCCCGTCTCTTACCCCGTCTCTTACCTCTTACTCCGTCTCTTACCTCGTCTCTTACCCCGTATCTTACCTCTTACCTTGTCTCTTACCTCGTCTCTTACCTCTAACTCCGTCTCTTACCTCGTCTCTTACCCCGTCTCTTACCTCGTCTCTTACCCCGTCTCTTACTCCGTCTCTTACCTCGTCTCTTGCCTCGCCTCTTACCCCGTCTCTTACCCCATCTCTTACCCTGACTCTTACCCCGTCTCTTACCTCTTACTCCGTCTCTTACCCCGTCTCTTACCTCTTACCTTGTCTCTTCGTCTCTTACCCCGTCTCTTACCTCTTACCTTGTCTCTTACCTCGTCTCTTACCTCTTACTCCGTCTCTTACCCCGTCTCTTACCCCGACTCTTACTCCATCTCTTACCTCGTCTCTTACCCTGACTCTTACCCCGACTCTTACCCCATCTCTTACCTCGTCTCTTACCCTGACTCTTACCCCGTCTCTTACCCCATCTCTTACCTCGTCTCTTACCCTGACTCTTACCCCGTCTCTTACCTCGTCTCTTACCTCTTACGCCGACTCTTTACCTGTCCACCCGTCCCACCATCGACCCGCTAAAACCGCCTCGCCCGAGCGCAGCCCCCGACTCGCACGGAGAAGTGTGGATGCTAAAGATTTTAAACATTTAACCTCTTTTGTTTGTTATCTCCACGACGACGACGATGGTGGTGGTGGTGGTGGCGGCGGCGACGATGCACGAGGCCGCGGACAACTCAAACCGCGCGCGCGCGCACACGTGAGTGCGCGCCCCTGTGCGATTGACATGCACGTGTGTGTGTGTGTGCACGTGTGCGTGTGTGTGTGCACGTGTGTGTGTGTGCACGTGTGTGTGTGTGTGCACGTGTGTATGTGTGTGTGCACGTGTGTGTGTACGTGCGTGTGTGTGCACGTGTGTGTGTGCACGTGTGTGTGTACGTGCGTGTGTGCACGTGTGCGTGTGTGTGTGCGCGTGTGTGCGCGTGTGTGCATCTGTGTGCACGTCTATTGCGCCGTCTGTTGTGACTGCCCGTGCGCGCGTGTACCGCCTTCCTGTGCGTGAGTCCGTGTACATCTCGCCAGAGTGCATGTGTGTGTGTTTACCCACGTGTGTCTGTGTGTGCGCGCGTGTATACCCGTTTGTGTGTACACCAGTGTGTGTGTGTGTACCAGTGTGTGTGTGTATACCCACGTGTGTCTGTGTGTGCGCGCGTGTATACCCGTGTGTGTGTACACCAGTGTGTGTGTGTGTACCAGTGTGTGTGTGTTTACCCACGTGTGTCTGTGTGTGCGCGCGTGTATACCCGTGTGTGTGTGTACCAGTGTGTGTGTGTACCAGTGTGTGTGTGAGTGTGCGTGCGTGTGTGTACGCCCGTGTGTGTGTACCAGTGTGTGTGTATAGTGTAGCGGTTAGCGCACTGCGCTTATGAACCTGGCGACCCGGGTTCGATTCCCGCTCACGGCCAACACCAGTGACGATTATCTGAACCGGTCCCGGGCCTCCCCTAGGTCGACTCAGCCTCAAATGAGTACCTGGTGCGATGTGTAAACATTGCCACTGGGGAGACAAAGGCGGTCGGGCGTGGTGCTGGCCACCCACCCCCTTGTGTACCGTTCCGGCCTTCATAGGTGCTCGCTAACAGCACTTGCCCCTACAGTCTGTTAAGGCTATATGGGGGATC